TTTTTTGGAAGAATTTCAAAGCTCACCAGTATTTTGAGTTCTATCTGCTACAGAAGCTGAGATATCAATAATTTACAAGGCGTTGACACAGTTGCTGAATTTACAGAAAAACTTCAGGTTTTAGGGGTATTTTTTAAAATCGGCCATAGGTTTTTAAGGTGTTTTTTCCAGGCGTTTTAGGCCTAAATGGGTTAATCAAGGTCAGTTTGCAAAAAGAAAAACCAGGTTAGTAATAAAGCGTGTTGCGTGCCTGATTTACAACAAAATATTCTTGATAAGGAAGGATGTCCTCAAACACAGAAAGCAGACTCAAGGTTGTTATCCGTGCTCTACAGATGTTTACCTTTGTTTAACAGTGCAGCGCTTTCCACAGTAACATCCTTGGCTTTTATGTCCTGCAGCAAGTCGTCCACAGTGGTCAACATCGGCGTCAGAGTGAAACGGCATTTCTGACCTGCAGGGAGCTGCAGGGAGAGGACGGGGCGTCCGAAGCTGTAGCGCAGAGAAACATCTGAAAGAAGAAGGATTAAGATACACAGCAGGTTAATGACAGACAGAACACTGAAGGCAATAAATGCTGGTGGAGATTCTCAGTCATCCAGGTCATTATCACTCCAACAAAATAAAAAAGTTAAAAAACAAACCACTGGACTTTGTTTTCTAAGTTTGAAGACGTTTCGCTTCCAATCCAGGAAGCTTTTTCAATTCCAAATGTCTGGATTAGCTTTTGAGTTCCAGGCTTATATAATGGCTCAAACAAAAGCCTTGTTATGGCTTAGAAAACATTCACATTGAACCGAAAGTTGCATGTTTTCTAAGGCAATGAATATAATAAGCAGATTTATCTGTTTTGATGCAAATTCATTAAAGGTAATTTGCTACAAACAAGAAAACTATATTACATTTTAGAAATGGATTTGATGCTGGAGAAAGTCTAAGGTATTTTTTTTAGATGCATTTTGCAATAATTTGGTGTCTTGATTTATAATTAACTTTTAACTAAGAATTTCAGGGGTACCATATCAGGAGCCAACATGGACAACATTTGCATTCAAACACAATATCTAGACAGATGATCTTCTTAAAATAATAATAAATCTTTATTTCTATACTACAGTCCCGGGGCAAGGGTGGGCATTGCTCTCCCTCAACTGGAAAATGTTTATTTTACTAGGGTTTTTTGTTGTTTTTTTTACTCTGGAGTGGCAATTTTTTATCATTCCTGTAAGACAAATTCATTTATAGGGTTAAAATACAAGATTGATAATTTGTCTGTTGTTAAGATTATAATTTAAGTGTAAAAAACTCTAATATTAAAAGCATAGAATATAGAAATGCAATTTGAAATGCATATTTTTGGGCTACCTGCATGCTGTAATTGTATATGTGTACGTAAGGACTGAGGGAAAACAGATATGCTGCAAGCAACACAGTTTTTGAACGAGTTTTTATTATACGAATGTGGATGTTCTCTTATTTTTGTTTTCTTTTAATAAACATCACAAGTTGAAGAACATTATCTGGAATTGCTCGCGTTTCAACGCTAGTTGCTAGACTGTTTTTCCATGCGGTACAGAAGAAACTAAAGGAGCTGGAGTGTCAATCACACAATTCAATCAATTCAAACAAATAGCAAAGGCAGGGGGCGGGTCATTGAGAAGGCTGTGGTCACCATAGCTGGTGTAGGAGGAGGCAGTGCAATTCTTTTTTAAGTTGGAAGCTAAGATCTAAAGTCAACAAGGGAGTAAACGTTCATGCTTGGAGAGTTAGCTGCATTGGCAAGAAGCTAAAAGTGTAACTCAACCAGATGGAAGAAACATGTGTCATTACATCACGGCTAAAACAACAAGTACGTACCATGAACAACATACTTACCGCCCCCCCAAACCCCATCTTCTCTTTTCTTTTTTCAGCTTTTTATTGTCATTACACTGTCACAAGTACAGAGCAAAGAAATTTACTCTCTGCATTTAATCCATCCCTTTGGGGAGCAGTGGGCTGCCATTGTGCTCAAATAAGGGATGTGAGGTGATCACCCAGTGGCCCAGGACCTGTAGGGGGAATAAGAGGAGGAGCCTCTGCAAACTGATCCCAAGACACTTAACCTAGCTACCGGGAGGGGGAATATCACCTCTATGGAGGGAATGAGCCTAAGGGGAAGGGTGACTGCTGCCGGCCAGAAATAGTTGGGTTAACTGTACACACAGCCTGGGCTCTGGAACCAAGCTCCTTAAGAGAGACAGAGCTGCACTGTTTGCAGTAGGGGTAGGGAGCTGCAGACCTCGATTGAGGGCGGTGAAAGGTAGAATCTCCTTAATCCAGCCATCATGCCTCCCTAGAGACTGGAAAAGAGGGAGGCTCACCCGCTCTGTCATGTTAGTTTATAGTTTTTTGACCCATATGCCGAATCAGATGGAGAACCAGTGTCTTTTCATGTTTAATGTACAAAAGCAACACAAATCTGGAAGTGGAGAACGGCAGGAAGTCAGATGAACTTTCTGGTTGGTCTAAGGGGAGAAAACAGACTGATCAGGAAGGAGTTGGTTGATAACAACTGATACCTGATTGGTTTGCTTGTCTGAGAGATGAAGGTGAGGTAACATGGATCTGTAGGGGTTTGATTCAGCGGGATTGTAATATCCTGATCAGGTCAATATAGTATGAATAAAAGTTATAATTTACCTTTGGATGTAGCCTGACTGCTGTAACTGGAAATGACACTGGTGGACCACACTGAACTGGACTGGAGAGATGAAAAGAAAATGTAAAAGGACACTTTAAGTCTGTACACTGAAGGGTTTCCTATTTGATTTGACACACATACAAAGAGAAGCTTTTTTTATTTGGATCGAACTTGGTGCATGCTGAACAGAAATGTCAAGGTCAACTTCATGTCATTAATCTAGACTCCATCATGTCTTAAGTTTTTTATTAAACCATATCACAGTCATGTTTTGAGTTTTTTTAGGGGTGACTTAAAGTCAAGTCTTTGCTCTCTAATACCAAAAATATCATCCTTACTTTATGTTATTCATGCACCTAATCTACCTTTTAACAGGAAACTACTGTATCTTTTAATTAAAATCAATCTGCCAAATTAAAAGATGAACATTTGCCAGATTATTTTAGGGCATTTGTACCTATCTTATAAATACAATACATGCATTAATGTTAACTTTTAAATAATTACTTATCTAATTCAACGGAACAGCAACAGTAAAGAGGTATTCATCTCTTTCAGCTGTTATATTTATGGTTTTCATTTGTTGGTTTCTTTGATTGTTATCTCTCAATGACATCCTCTCCCATGTGCTTTACTTTTGTCTCATTGTGTTCTATATATGTGCATTCTGAGCCAACTTTCGACAAAAAATAAATTATGACAATAAAGATTCTTGAGTTTGTTGAATCTCTTATTCTATATATAAAACCTCTTTGGTCGTGTTAAACAATTATGCAGAATCTTTGGTATATTTTTCACGCAATAAAGAGTAAAATTCAAGTAAAAGGACTTTTACTTTGAACAAACCAAAGTATCTATCTTTGTCAAATTACTTTTTCAACAGAGAGTCTGTAAATAAGATGTTGAGGTCCTTAAGATGGTCCTTTAGTCTTTTAAAATTGTTTGATAGACATTTGAGCTTCTTACATAATGAAGATACTCCTCCCAAACACCAGGCGGCATTTAGACATTGTTTTTTTAGGATAAATCTGGTCGGTCTGCATAGTCTTGATATAGTTAAAAAAATCATTTTTTTTTTATCTAAATCGCGCTGTGTTTGGCCAATCTGGTTTTGTTCCACTTTAATCCAATATTGGACATTAAAAAGACATTGCAAGCCCAGTTTTCAATGTTTTTTCAACGATCTGAAGGTAGTTTGGACGTACATCATCTCGTCCTTTCAATGGCCTTTAAACCAATTTTTCTCAGTGGGATACAGTTAGAATGCAAGCAACTTCCCTGCCCAATGATCCTTCCATGCTTAATTTCAACCTCTTTCCATCAAATTGTTTACCAGACTAATTCCACACCTCAATGCCAAGTCAAGCCTTGTGTCTTTAGAGCTGTAGAATAATTTTAGAGTCTTTGTTTTTCCAGCTAAAGTACGACTCATATCAGTATCAGCATCTTTGTTACCCTTCAGTGGCGATCAGCAGAAAATTATCTTTAAGCACAAAATAATGATGGTGTGCCATCATTTGTTCCACTCCGGTTTGTCAAGGAGCCATTCTTTGTTCCTACTGACCTTTATGCTCTTTATCTAACTTTTAAACATTTTTAAGCATTTATATCAACTTCTTAAAAGTTAAATCAAATAAATGCAGATTGCCCTGTACGAACCACATACCTTGTACTTAGCTATACTAGGTCTGACTGCACCCAGCCCCTGCTATCAGAGACATGTTCAGGTGTGGCTGTTGCACCAACATGACTCATAGAAAAAACAACTCAGCTGCTGCAAGTTGAAACATGAATAAAACATTTCTGGTGTCATGTTTCCTCTAGGGAAGCAACAACATGGATCCAGTTACGCTTTGAGTACAGAGGATTGTCAAAGCATTTGACTCAGTTATAATTATATAATGATACGATTATGAAATCATATTTCATTAACTATAAGACAATCCTAGAGAAGGGGGGGGCAATTCCAGTCTGAAAGAGGTGGTATCCTGCAACTTCAATTTGTCTCTGATTTAAAACACCTGAATCAGGAAAACAGATGATTAGCAGGACTTCAGTTGATTGATGAGATCTGTTTATGTTTATACACACACACATATATATACACAAATATATATATATATACACACACACACATATATATATATATATATATACACACATATATATATATATACACACACACACACACATATATATATACACAC